GCGGAGCCTGCTGGCCGGGCGCTTGTCCTCCTTCCCGGGGTTCGGCGAGAAGGGCCAAGCTGAGAAGTTGGCAGTGCACGCGTGTCTTGGACTTGAGGTCTGCCATCCTCTGGGACTGTGGGCTGCCTTTTTTTTCCCTTAGAGGACATCTTAGTAATGACGGTTCCTCTGGAGCCCTAGGACTGTCAGAGTCGCGGCGGACCGTAAAAATACCGTAACGGATCCCCTTAAAACACTTACAGAATACTCAGAAGCACTTATCGAATGCCCCATAGGTGCCAGGTGCTGAGGAGGCAGTAGTGAAAAGAAGGCTAGGTGCCGACCTGGAGGAGCCCAGTTCCAAGAGGGAGAGACAAATGTGTGAACTGACTGGTGCGGGGCCTGTTTTTTTTTTTTTTTAGCAATCTTTTTTTTTTTTTTTTTTGGAGAGGTTTTCACTATAGGGCGCGTGCGCTCGCCAGACAGACAGAGACATAGAGACAGAAAGCGAGAAATCACCCCCCAGGGGGGATGGTCACGCCGCAATCCCTTCTCCTCCATTCTCCTCTCGGGATCTTGGGCACGCACGCACACGCGCCCGGCGTGAGATTTAAGCCACCGGGTCCGAGACGCGAACCGCGGTCGACTACGTGGGAGTCCAGCGACATAGCCATTACGCTAACTGCTGGTTCCCGCGGGGCCTGTTTTTTACAGGGGCTGCTGAAGCTGGGGAGTCAGGCACCTTCCCGGGCTGTAGGCAGAACAGGCTTCTTGGAGAAAGGGCTGCTTGGGAAGAATGAGTTCACCAGACTCAGTAGGTGGAGGATAGATGGAACAGCCTGTGCAAAAGCCTGGAGACTGAGTATGCAGAACGTGAAGGACTTAAAGGTTGTTTGGGATGGCTGTGGTGTAACGTTTGTGGCAGATAGATGAAATTGCATGCTGTCTGCGCTCGAAGATTCTTCATACTCTGTCACCTTTCATGATAAGTCTTTCAAGGTGGAGCCATTCTCAATTCCCTCATAATTAACTTGGGTGTTAAACCCTTTCATTCCTATTCTGTCATAACTACTGTTTCTTAAGTGTACCTTCGTGACAGTTTTTAATTGCTTTCATGTTTTTGCATTTTTTTCTTCCATATGGTCAAGACCAGAGTTAACATTTTAAAAGGTATTTTAGAAGCCAGCAGGGGGTGTAGTGGCTAAATTGCTAGACTCCCACTTGGCTGACTGCAGTTCTAGTCCCAGACCCAGCAGCTTGAAAATCACTGAGCCTGGGTGCCCAAAATCCCAAGAGGAGAATGGGGAGGAAGGGATTGCAGCGTGGCCATCCATCCCTGGGGGATGATTTCTCTACTTTCCCTCTCTCTGTCTCCTTCTCTCTCTGGTGAACACATGCACCCTATGACAAAAGCCTTTAAAAAAAAAAAAAGAAATTTTATATCATGTTTCTGCTGAAAAATATTTGGTAGATTCCTGTTGTCCAAAAGGACAAAATCCAAATTGATTAGCTTAGTGTGCAGCAGTGCCATTCCATCTTCACTCAGTCCAACTGGTTACCCTCATTGCTGCCCCACCTCTTTGCCTACTTTTACCCTTTACTCCCCACTCTACTTCCTCATCTTCAGTGCCATTCCTCTCCACTTTGAATGTGAATGATTCATTCATCCGTCACAATTTAGTTCACATGTCATCTTTTCTTTGGTAGCTTTAGAATAAAACTTACTGTATTTTGAAATATACCAGACCTACTTATAAGCAACAACTCTAGTTTGAATGTCTCCCCAGATGTTCATGTGCTGGGTCTTGTAATAGCTATCTTGATTGTAATGACGATCTCAGGGTGAGACCTAGTGTATCTGACTGGTTCATGGCGATTGCATCATGGAAATACATTTTCATGAATTGATTAATGATGTTTTTTGAGTGACCTTGTGAGTTTGGGATCTCATGAGAGGAGATTAGCTCTCATGAGAGTTCGTTGCAGTAAAACAAAGAGCGAGCTGCCTTTTTTTTTTTTTTTTTTAAGAGGTTTTTGCCATAGTGGGTACGTGTGCTCGCCAGACAGACAGTGAGAGACAGAGAGAGAGAGAGCAAGAAATCACCCCCCAGGGGGGATGGCCACGCTGCAATCCCTTCTCCTCCATTCTCCTCTTGGGATCTTGGGCACGCACGCACACGGCGCCCAGCGTGAGTTTCAAGCCACCGGGTCCAGGACCCAAACCCGAACCATGGTCGACTACATGGGAATCCAGCAACATAGCCATTACGCTAACTGCTGGTCCCCAAGCTGCTTATTCTCTATGCACACCCTGCCATCTTCTGTGCTTCTCTGTCATGTTGTGGGTCTAGATCTTTGGACTTACCAGCCACCAGAATTGATTTTGTAAATGAATGTTTTCTTTATGTAGTAATTCAGGTATTTCTGTTGGCAGTGTAATAATGGACTAAGACATCACCATTTTTCTTTGGAGCATATTAAATTTAGCCCTCATACATCATTACTTACCAAGTTTTTAGGTTTTCCCAATATTAAATAATGGAAGAAAAATCTCACATTACACAGACACCAGGAGTTAAATGGCTTATATATTTATTTTACTGTTTCAGCTGTATTAGACTCAAATAATGTCTGATGACAAATAAGGCTTTGGAGTTTCCGGCCAGTTGGTGGAAAAGAATTTCATTGTAGTTTAAAATTTAACAAAACTGACAAATTGCTTAATTGTCTGATCTCAAGTGAAGAGTTTGTGAATGTCAAGTGCATGCAATCCTATAGGTACTACAGGAATACACTTCTGATAGACATATCAGCGTTCAAATGATCTAAATGCACGATCTTAAGACTGACTAGCACATTGTCCAATGTTAGAAGAGACTCTCAAACACCACTACCCCGACTCAGAAAAATAGTTCATCAGCTTATGAAATATATGCTAGGATTGCTCAGCAAAACAGAAAAACAGAAGGTTCAAAAGTAGAAGGGTGGGATATGATAGCTCACTAATATACTAAGGCAAAGATTTGAAAGTCTAGGAATAAGACCTGTTTAGAACAAAAAACAACAGCTACTACTTCTTAAAAGGGGTGTCACTCCTTCACAAAGACAACATACTTACAGAGAAATCAATAGCTACCATCCATCCATAAGGTATGCTTGATCAAAAAGTAAGAATTATCCCAGATGAAAAAATAGCTCAAGGGAATATTTCAAACAGAATAGCCTCCAAAATTCAAGGAACTGGAAAAATTGGCTCATATACGAGCAACCAAAGTATTTTCCAGTTATTAGTTATTGGAATCTAGTAGAAACGAATTTGTGTAAGAACATCATGGTTACCTCCTCAGAGTATTCCAGACTGTGTTTGATTGGCCACAATTGTAAAACCACTGGTTAGGCTGAACACTTTGAGTTTTTAGAATGGAAGATCAGCCTATTTAGAAAAGCAGTGGGTGGTGCTGCATTGTGGAATGTTAGTTTGGAGTTTAATAACTTACAAAAAATAAGAACTAAACATGAACTAAAGCTTCAACTGGCTGTCCAAAGTCAGTCATGTCACACAGAGCAGACACATAATTTAACTGAAAACATCATCCTATGATTAGTCTTTCTTACTAGTGTCTTTATTTTTTTTAACTAAGAAACAATGTGGATATTCACTTAAGATTAACTAATGAAGAAATGAACAAGCTCTACACCACAGACCACAAAACCAACAAACACAAGAAGGAAACAGCACTTGCCTTAATCTGTGTGAACACTTACACAGAAGACAGTTGCCTTATGCCTAAGAGTTTGTTGCTCTCAACAGTCTGTGTCATTTTGGGATATAGAAAAGGTTCCTTTAGTGTGCTACTTTCATGGAACATTGATTAATTCATCACCAAGTCCTGTCAGCTCTGCCCTCAAAATATATACTACATCTATCTTTGTTTCCTTCATTTCCATTACTAAATTCTAGAGGCCAGGACCTAGTCAAAGCAGTGTTGTCTTTTGCCTGGAACACTATCTACCTAACCTACTTCACAGTCTTGACAGTCTTACAGTGTGCTCACCAAAAAACTCAGCAGTTGTTTAAAAATGCATATCATATCGTTTCCCTGTTTAAAATGATCCAGTAGTGTGTCATTGTACTTAGAATGAAATTCTAATCTTTAAGCCTGACCGCAGGGCCCCACATAATCAGGCTCCTCCTGCCTCCCTCTGTCTCAACTTTGTGTCTTTCTCCCTCATACTTGCTGTGCTCTGGCTATACGTTAGCTAGCTGTGCCTTCTGCCAAGCATGCTTTTCTCCAAAATCTCATGGTTGGTATCTCATTTAATTCATGTCTTATTTCCGAGATGTGCTCTTAGAAAGGCCATGTGGTCTCTGCCACAACTACTCAATTCTGCCCCTGTACTGGGAAAATAGCTGTAGACAATATAAGTCAGTGGGAATGACTGTCTTCCAAGCAATCATTATTTACAAAAACTGTTGATGTGTTAGATTTGCCTGTAGATCCCTGATAGAGGAGTTTTTCTTGCATAAATAATTTATAACGCATTGTTCACAATTTCTAGGTTGGTGTTTTGAAAGTGAACTAAGAACTTATTAGCCTTTTATCAGTCTTAGGGCAAACTCTTCCTGAATTTACATGGCTTTTCCTTGGTATTTTACAGTTGTCCTTTTTAACCCTCTATTGAATCCACATATTCAGCTTAGGTTTTTGTGAAAAGAATTCTATTTGCAATCAATTTCATTAGTATTTGTGTAATGGATATTTATATAACTATGTTAATAAATAAAGCTTGTATAAATAAGTTTGGTAACACATAGTGGAGTCTGAGTGAGTGTGCAGTGTAGCTGGTGAGAGCTGAAGTGTTCAGTGATAGACTGCAGGCTTTAGTCATGAGTATTCAGCAAGCTGAATCCAGCAAGTCAGAGTATTGAGAATAGTGAAGATAGCTTTTATTCTATTTTTGACTAGAATTTTTTGTTGTTGGTTTTTATTTTAGGGAACTTATAGAAATGTTGGCAATTTCAAGAAACCAAAAGTTGTTACAGCCTGGAGAGGAAAACCAGGTAAGTAGTTTCTTTTTCAGTTTTCAAAACAAACCAGAAAACCATAATTTTTGCAAGGTTCCTATTATTTATTAAGTTTGCTGTAATGTGTGTGAGCTCTCTGGAAAGACACAGAGAGAGAGAGAAAATGAGAAAGCACCTCCCAGGGAGGATGCACATGCTCCGGTCCCTTCTCCATTTTCCTCCTGGGATTTTGGGCATGCATGCACATGTACCCAGTGTGATTTTGAAGTCGCTAAGTCCGGGACTCAAACCACATAGTCATATGGGATGCAGTTCTTTAACCTCCAGGCCACCTGCTGGCCCTTTAAAAAAAAAATCTTTAATACATTTTAAAGATATTTTAAAAATTGATTCTAGATTTTTATAGCTATGTCCTTTCTTAAATATTATTCCCTACTTAGTAAAGTAAGGTTATTCAGACTAAACCTGTGTCAGTTATAAAAAAATAATTACTCAATTTTATTTATTATTATTATTATGTTTTTAATTTGATCAGAGCAAAGTGGGGGGGAGGGAAAGTGAGAAAGCAAGCTGCTAGGTCCAGGACTCAAACCATGAGTAGCTGGGTGTCCACCACCATAACCAATAAGAACACAAGCTCAGAGAGGCTAGTGCTAACTTTGCCTATGTCACACTGCTAGCAATTGAAGGACTACAGATACGAACCCCATATTTTGTATTTCATGTGTTTAAATGTCATGGTTTTTGGTTATATCTTCAAATCACCTATTTATTTTACTGTTTTTTGAAACCACTATTTTTTTTTTCCCACCAAGAATTGTATTGATCCTTTATTAAAGCAACAAAAAAGCTATGTTTAGGACAGCAAAGAACATCACTGGAAATGCAACCTTTTTTTAGTAGAAATAAATCTAGAGAAGTTTTTGTTTTGTTTTGTATTTTGAAACCACTATTTTTAGATCATCTTTGTTGTCTAATACTTGTGTTTATTAGCACATTCTAACGTATATTAGAAACAGAATGTACATTAGAAAGATGCTAGTATATAGATACTTCTTATATATATATAGTACAAATGCCTGACTTAAAAATTTTTTTTAAGTTCTTGGTGCCACCTAAAATATTGTCAAGTACAAAATTTTGGAAGACCTTCCATTGTGTTGTATGTTTAAACTTACAAATTTTATCTTCCCTGGGAAATGAATAAAACCTGCTAATTTTGACATATTGCTTGTTCTGAAAGACTGAAAGACTAACAGAAAGAGTAGAAAATCTTAATATGTTTCCCTAAATAGCCATAGGTAAATTACTTTTGTTCTTAATAAGGATTAGGAATAATGTTTTGAACATGTTAAAATATGGATTCTTTGTATCATTGAAATGTAGCCTTTCAACATTGTATTATCTGATTTACTCAACTGTTTCCTGACAGGTCCTGGAGTTGTTAATTCACCGAGATGGGGAATTTCAAGAACTAATGAAATTGGCCCTTAATCAGGGGAAAATCCATCATGAAATGCAGGTTTTAGAAAAAGAGGTAGAGAAAAGAGACAGTGATATTCAGCAACTACAAAAACAGCTAAAGGAAGCGGAACAAATACTGGTGAGTTGATAGAAGTTGGTTCTTAATGTGAAAAAGGATACTATTTAAATTATTTCTAAAAAATAAATCTATTACGTATTTTGGAGGACAGAAAACTTGACTTTCCAAGCCTGAAAAATGATACCCTGTTGGCTAAATGGAAAGCCATTGTTGGACCCTTTTTTACTTAATGTTTTTAGGTGGTCTCTGTTACTGTTGAGCCACATTTTCAAAAGAGTGAAAAAGAAAGAAAATTGCCTTTAGTTCCACTGCTCGAAAAATGCCACTTATTTATAGTTTGGTCTATTTCCTAGAATCTAAAGTATATTCTCTTTTTTTTTTTTACTTTATTATAATTAGGATACTAACAGACTTTGAATTACCATTTATTAAAACTTAGGGCATTTTCCATGTAATTACATCCCCTTTGCTTAGTTTTTCAACTTTGTGTTATAAATAATGTTTTGGTGAATATCCTGGCAGATAAAATGCTTTTCTTCTGCACTTTAGATTATATTCTTCAGATTTAAAAAAAAAAAATTTATTATTATTATTTTTTGGAGAGGTTTTTGCTATAGGGCGTGTGTGCTCACCAGAAAGACAGAGAGAGACAGAGAGACAGAAAGCAAGAAATCACACCTCCAGGGAGGATGTCCATGCTGCAATCCCTTCTCCTCCATTCTCCTCTCTGGATCTTGGGCACACATGCCTGGTGTGAGTTTGAGCCACTGGGTCCAGGACTCGAACCGTGGTTGACTACATGGGAGTCCAGTGACATAGCCATTATGCCAACTGCTGGGCCCTAAATTTTCAAAAATGTGTTTATTGAATTAAAGACAGTGAACACAGGACCGTAAGAAGACTGAATTTTATGATTCAAATTGTAGCAGCTAATACTGATTAAGCACTTAATACCAGGCTCTTGCTTTGTACTTCATATGCATTTTCTTAGTCTTTACAACAATTTAAATGAAATCAGCACCATTCAGATGATTAAAAAAAAAAAAATCTAAGTCTTTAAATGAATAATTTGCCCAAGGAGGCTAAAAAGTTGAGAGAAGCAACTTAAACCTAGATTTCCCAGATTCCGTACTTCTAACCATTGTGTCATAGTTGAGAATATACACATTCCAGATTATCTTTGTTTTGTCTGTTAGTGTGTCATGGGGTGGAGGGAGATGGTTTTCCTGATAGTAGTCCTTAAGCTCTGAGATGAATATGAATGTCAATCTTAAGAATGTAGCTTGTAAACTAGAAACTTTTTAAGGTAATTTATCTTTCAACTGGATGCAAGATGAATGCTTTTGGGGTGGTATGTAATGCGGGTCTCTTTTGCATGTCTATGTAGAAGATATAAAGGAAAAAGTTAGTAAATGACCCAGTTTACACTTTGATTCTAATAAGTAGTTTGTGAGTGGGAGACTAGTTCAGTATTGTTTTCATTAAATGTAATTGTGAAGTAAATGCTATCTAGTGATGTTTCAGAACATTACATAAATTGAATTTCCAAATTCTGCGAGTTGTTCCTGCAAGGTGATCTTATGAGTTAAACCAAAAATTATACTTAACATCACAAAGAATAAAACATATCTTTTTTCTGTTTTTTAAATTAGGCAACAGCTGTTTATCAAGCAAAAGAGAAACTCAAGTCGATAGAGAAAGCAAGAAAAGGTTAGTACTGCGGGACTGTTGAATGACCTTTCCAAGTTCTTGTTTCAAGAAACTGGTAAGAGAGTACTGCTGGTAATCATTTGCTCCTTTTGTGATGATTCCAATGCATTTTCATTGTGAAGTGTGTTATGTCCTAGTATTGTGCTAGTGTTGCTAGGGAGGCGGAAGTATCATATCCTGTTTCAGGTTACAATCAGTAATAATGGAAGGCAGTTTAAGACTGTGTACCCAAATGTATGATGAAGACAGTGCATGTGTGAAATTGTTGGAAAAAGGGAAGAGAAGTATGGGTTGGCATTTTTAATTGGATTATGAAGGCTGGGACAGAGAATGAAAGAATGTCCACTAGACAACTGAAATGAGATGGGAACATCATAAAGTCAGAACTAGGTAGAAATTCAGGATATAAGCATATTTGGTAGTAAGACCTAGCTTGCCTTTCTGCCTCACTGTCCCTCTTCTAAAGGCTTTCATTATGGATCTTATTAAATGTTTTTGTTTGCATAAAAGTCAGACTTGTAATTAAAACTTTGATTACTTTTAATAATTTGTAGATATGTTTTATATTTAGATATTCAGGTCTGTTGTCTAGCCTTCCTGGTTTTTTTTTGGGGGGGGGAACTACTTTTAGATTGTATATATAAAAAATGGCTAATATCCTTCAAGAGATGGGCTAGCTTTTGTAGCAGGTAACAGATCTCTAAAAGAGGTGACCGAGGCTGCCTATTTGAAATCTAGACCACAATTTTGTTTTTAATCTTCAAAAATTTTACACACATTCACAAAGTACCTTGTTACAAAAAATAACATCTAAGTTTATCAAATAAATAGTGAATTTTACTTTTCAGAGGGAACTACTATAATGTTTGGTATATGTCCTTCTGGCTTTTTTTCCTAGACCTGTGAATATGTACATTAAAAAATACAAATATAGGAGCCAGCAGGTGGCATAGTGGTTAAGGCCCTGGACTCTCACGTGGCCACCCCTGATTCAAATCCCAGACCCAGCAACTTGAAACTCACATAGGGCATGTTAGCATGTAGGCCCCAAATCCCAAGAGTAGAGTGGAGGAGAAGGGAATGCAGCATGACTACTCTCCTGGAGGGGTGATTTCTCAGCTGTCTGTTTCTGTGTCTCCAGCAAGCATGCACCCTATTGCAAAAATCTAAAAAAAAATATATACACACAAATCCAGTTGAGGTAACTGGATTCCACATGGCTGACTGCACAGTTCAAGTCCTGGACCCAGCAGCTTGAAAAACATGCCAGGAACAGGTTCATGAGTGCCCCAAATCTCTAGAGGAGATAGAAGTGAAGAGATTGCAGTGAGGCCATATTTCCTGGGTGTTGATTTCTCACTTTCCGTCTCTGGCAAGCACATGCACACTATAGCAAACTAAAAAACGCAAAAACAAATACGCATAGATATGTATTTTTTAAGACAAAAAATAAGGTTATACTATATACATATTAACTCATAGCTAGCTTTTATTTGCCCAATAAATACAGCATAGACATCATCCTACATAGGTTTATTTAGAGCCTTGAGCCATGTTAATCAAGGAGAGCAGTACGAACTGTCTGCTCTGATTTCATTGTCTGGATGTCACTGGGGAATGAAGCAGTTTTCTCTATTTTATCTGTGCTTCTTGTTTCAGAAGAGTAATAATATTTAACAGTAGTTAATAATTAGATTATTAAACATTATCATGTTAGTCTCCCAAATTTGTTTATATATCAGCTGATTTTTCTGAATTGAGTGTCTTGTTCTTTAGTTTGGAAACTTATACAATTTAAATTTATATTATGTATGTGCAGGTATTGTGAAAAAATAGGTGCTGATATTTCAGTTTGTTAAATTATGTAAATTCAGTTTGATGTATAGCTATGACATATGTCCTTCTAAACTTGGCATGTTGCTAAACTAAAATGTTACACTGTTCTCTTAACTCTCAGGTGCCATCTCCTCTGAAGAAATAATTAAGTATGCACACAGGATAAGTGCAAGTAATGCTGTATGTGCCCCACTGACCTGGGTTCCAGGTATAAATGCCTCTTTTTTACACTAGATATATGTAGTTTTAAAAGGTTTTAGGTGATTGTGTACCAAAGTACAGTTGTATTTATTCTTTGAATATAAAAATATACTTTTATATCTTTATTGTCTTATAAGTGAGATATAGGCCATGTGTTTTAAAAATCTGGTTTCTAGAAAGCCATTGCCACTAGGAAATGTTGTATCTTTTTTAAAAAAATAATAAATTGATAATTTTTTATAGTACAAGATAATGTGCGATACATCTCATGCTATAAACTTATATACCTGAAAAAGCCAGGCTGACTATAAGCCAACTTTAGAGCCAATAAGATTTTCACAAAGGTTTCAGCTTGAGAAACAGATTAACTCTTAGTTCTTTTGGTGCTAAGCTCCCAATAGCAAACACACAACAACTGACTGAAATAATTAGAAACAGCAAAGAGAGTAACAAGCTGCCACTATCTTGGTAATGGTTAAAACACAGGAGACCTGAAGCAGAGCAGCAGTCTTTAAAGGAATAGGAGATAGTTTTCTCAGCCTCAGTGACTCTTGAAGGTGGTGTTTATATAAAAGTACTAAGTGTAACTAAAATTTTGGAGGTGAGTGATCCAGAGTTGATAAGAAATACTAGCAAAAAACATTATCAAAAAGTTAGTAAAAATCCGGCCCATGTTTTTTAATCCATTAAAAACTGCTATCTGGTATGCTTTCATGATTTGAATGAATATTACCTGCTCCTGATATTCTGTTTGGAAGTTATAGGTATTATTTTTTAAATGACAAGATGAAAGTCCCAGCCATGGTAGTGCATGCTGGTAGACACTGCCACTCCACAGGCCTAGGCCACCTGCAAGGCTAGGTTCAATTCCTGATCAACCCTGTAAGATAGGGGTAATAATGTGCACTTAGAGTCCTAGCTACTAGGGAGGCTGAGGCAAGAGCATCATGACATAATAAGACAGTCCTTAAAAAATGACAGGGGTTGAGGCCAGCAGGTGGCGTGATAGTTAAGGCACTAGACTTCCACATGGCTGCATGTGGTTCTAGTCCTGAACCCCAGGCTTGAGGATCATGCCAGGCGCATGTGCATGCATGACCAAAATCCCAAAAGGCGAATGAAGTAAAAGGATTGTAGCATGGCCTTCCCTCCTCAGGGTGTGAGTTCTCATTCTCTCTCTCTCTGATGAGTGCATATGCCCTATGGCAAAAATCTTATTAAAAAAAAAAAAGCAAGGGTTAAACATTGCATTGAGAATAAAGATTCCACGTGGTTAACCAGAGTTCGGGTCCTGGCGCAGCTTGAAAAACTCCTGGGTGCATGTACGTGAATGTCCCAAATCCTGATAGAATGGAAAGATGGAGATAAAAGGATTGCAACATGGCCTCGTCCTATTGGGAGGTGCTTTCTCTCTCAGTTTCTGTCACTCTTTTTCTCTCTGGCAAGTGCATGTGCCCTAGGCAGGTTTTTAAAAATCGCAAGATCAAAGAGACTGGTTAGGAAAAGGTTTTAATTTAGACAGTCCTTCCAATAAACATTCCAGTCTTTTCTACCTTACAGATGTCATAATTGGTTTCCCTCAGAGTGTTTCTCTTTTTTTGGCTAGACAATCCACTTAAGTTAGGAGAGAGATCATTTTAAGTTTTCTTAATTTGACATTTTGAATGTTTGCTAAAGTGACAGACTTTTCTCATTTAGAGATAGTAGACTCACAGAAGGTATAAAAATGCGGGAACCAGCAGTTAGCGTAATGGCTATATCGCTGGACTCCCACGTAGTCGACCGCGGTTCGCATCCCAGACCCGGTGGCTTAAATTACGCCGGGCACGTGTGCGTGCGTGCCTAAGATCCCGAGAGGAGAATGGAGGAGAAGGGATTGCGGCGTGACCATCCCCCCTGGGGGGTGATTTCTCGCTTTCTGTCTCTATGTCTCTCTCTGTCTGTATGGCGAGCACATGCGCCCTATAGCGAAAAACCGCTCCAAAAATTAAAAAAATAAAAAAAATAAAAAAAGATATAAAAATGCATGTATTTTAAAAACTAATGTATTATGCTCATAATACAATTGATGGCATTCATATTCCAAACTTAAAAAGGTAATTTAAGTTTTTTGGCATGAACCAAGTACGCCAAAAGAAGTATTAATGTTTTTATTTTTACTTAAAATACATGATTGAGTTAAAAGCAGTCTCTTGTTGTAGGGGACCCACGGAGACCATATCCAACTGACTTAGAGATGAGAAGCGGGTTATTGGGCCAGATGAACAATCCATCCACTAATGGTGTGAACGGTCATTTACCAGGGGATGCACTTGCAGCAGGCAGACTGCCAGGTAATGTTACTCTGAAGAATGTTTGCAAGCAACCCAGTTTTTCAGAGATCTAGTGGGCTATTTAGCTGTTAAATGAGTTTGAGGTTCCAGACCCAACTCATTTTATTAGCCAGGTTCTCTGCCAATTTATCCTGCTTTCTGCTGACTCTTCTAGGTAGAGATGATGAAATTAACTAAGCTTCCTTTCTCTCTTCCTTGTTAATGCCATCTTCCTCAGGCATTGAACCTCTCTCTTTTTATTATATTGCTCTAAAAATGAATAGTGGATTTTTTAGTATATTTCCTTTCTTCCCCTATATTTTTATTAGAAATGTACTCTAGATATTGTTTTGTTTTTTTTAATACAGAAGTGACAGATATGGGGAACAGCTACTACATCTAGGCCAAAGGATGGTCCCCAAAGGAGGGACAGACAAGAAGAGGGTCCCACCCCCGTACCCACTCAGATACTTATCATGGCACCCTTACTGAGGACTGCAGTGTATCTGTGGCCCACTGTCTGGCAGAGAAGTTGATGTGTCAGAGGCCAGAGCTAGCAAGCAGGCAGTTACCCACTGGGTTCCAGACTGGGAAGCTGTCCCTGGGAATTTTGGTGAAACCTATTAGGACACCCTGTCAAAGACATAGCTGAAAGTTGTTGCCAGGTGAGCATCACTTGACATCCTGCACACCAGCCAGTCAAGGTAGTAGTAAGGAAAACAGCCTGATCCAGGTAGTGAAGGCTGTTTTTTCTGCAGTCTTACCAGTGCCCTCTACTGACAAACTTAACACTGTGCCACCTGGCACAAGAAAGAGTTTTGGGCTCCAGGGAGAGAGAAGGGTAGATTTGAAGCTAACTGGCACACCCTACCTTTATAATTATCAACTTTGTTTTTACCCTTATTCTTTAGTCTTGAACTTGTTTATGTGCCGTTCCTTTTTTTCAGAAATATGGACTCTTAATGTGATTTGAGCACTCATTTATTATTTCTTAAATGTGTATTGCCAATCAACTTCTCTCTGATTGGAATGATTTCCAGTACCAATTCCTCTATCATCTAAGGAATTATTTAAATCTATTGTAATACTTGACATAGTAAATGTAATTTACCTATTTATAATGTACAATCAATGTGACCTAATATATATTAATTACATATTATGAGTGTTTATAGTATATATATATATATATGTGGGAGAAAATTGGTTCTAATTCTAAATGTCAATTATTTGGGCAACTGGGTGTTTTTATGTCTACTCATAAAAAAATTTTACAGTTTATGCAAATTATTTGTATAGAGGGAGCAGTAATGAAGAGCTGGATTGATACAAGTAGAACTGTTTTTATACATGCTTCTTTCTTTTCTCCAGATGTCCTTGCTCCACAGTATCCATGGCAGTCAAACGACATGTCAATGAACATGTTACCACCAAATCACAGTAATGATTTTTTGTTGGAACCTCCTGGACATAATAAAGAAAATGAAGATGATGTTGAGGTTATGTCCACGGACTCCTCAAGCAGTAGTAGTGACTCTGATTAGAAAACATAAAAGATAGCATATAAGATTGGATACTGTAGTAGATCTGTACTTTGATTCTTAAATAGTAGCTGCAAAATATAAACTGCAAAAACCCCTAAGGAATAGTCAGATAAATAATGGCTATGATGGGATAGTCAGCTCATTAAGAATTTAAGTGAACTTTTCTTTTTAAAGCTGAAGTCATGGTTTTAGTTCTAATTAGGTAAACTATTTGGGGACTAGTCTGCTGAAAAAAGATGATTCAGTTTTTCAGTGCTGTCTTCCCCTGTTCTATTTTATTCCACTTGTACTGTATTTGTAAATAGTAGTTCTGGAAATACGATTTGAGGGAAATGACCTATGTACATGTCACTAATAGGCTTCCTGGAATTATTTGGAGAAGTTAAAAAAAAAAAAAGAAACAAAACACAGTAATTACTGAATATGCATTATTTCAAAAATAACATCATTTGAAAGTGACATCTCCTGGCTTCTGTTGCAAGAAAAAGGAGACGTTAACTTAATTTGTACTGTTTGTAATTATTGTAATTTTTGTAAATAAATTTACTTTTTTATACTTTGTATGAATTTTTTTAAATTCTTATAATTTAAATGTACCTTTAATGTAGGTAAGAAATGACTCTTGTAAATCCAGTTGTATTTTATAATGCTTATGTAGAATTCTGGAATGAGAACAAACTAGTAAATTTCTCAGAGACCCTCAGTCCTGTTCTTAGAAGAAACAAAATAAATGTTAATTTACTAATTGGTAACATTTACCAGTCATATCTGATTTTAAGAATTAATTCTATGAAAGGTTTTAGAATAGAAAGCAACCATTTCTTTTCTTTCCCTTTTTTTTTGGAGAGGTTTTTTTCGCTATAGGGCGCGTGCGCTCGCCAGACAGACAGAGACATAGAGACAGAAAGTGAGAAATCACCCCCCAGGGGGGGATGGTCACGCCGCAATCCCTTCTCCTCCATTCTCCTCCCAGGATCTTGGGCACGCACACACACGCACCCAGTGTGAGTTTTAAGCCACCAGGTCCAGGATGCGAACTGCAGTCGACTACGTGGGAGTCCAGCGACATAGCCATTACGCCAACTGCTGGTTTCCCTCTTTTCTTTTTTTTTAATTCACGAGAGAGCACGTGCACATAGGGGAGAGATACCAACACCCTTCACAGGTTCTGGTCACACCACAATCCCCCTCCTCCACCCCATCAGCTCTTGGCATTGCATATGTGCCTGGTATGTTTCATGTTGAAAAGACTCAAACTGTGTTTGTCATGTGGGATCTGGCTTCTCTTCAACAGTGTGTTGTCCCTGCATCAGGAGACATCCAGAAAGCAACCATCTCTTGCCCTTACTTTCTCTCTTCATACTGCATTTTTCCTCTCGGTATCCTGGGCACATTCATATACGTACCCAGTGTTGAGCTTAAGCCATCGGGTCTGGGACTTGAACCACGGTGGACTACATGGGAGTCCAGCGACAATAGCCATTATGCCAACTGCTGGTCCCAAGTTTTTATTTTCTTAATGACCTCTAGGTAAACTGGATTTACAAGTATTCATGGCAGCCCACTGCCTAATCACTGTCCCTGCCAGTGTTAGCACTAAAAAGTTGAATTCAAATGGAAGGAGAAAATACGGGTAGTCCACAGGTTCAGTAGCAAAGGATGCCACATTGGGCAAAGACCAGAGTGAGGGATTAAGGGCTGGGAGGTGGAGCAGGGCGTCAGGCCAGAGAAATGGAGTGGAGTCAGCAGGTCAGAATACATAACTGTTGTGAGGTCCCGAGAGCTCTTTTGCACCCCCATCCTCACTCCTGAGAGGAGAATGGAGGAGAGGAGATTACGATGTGGCCATCCCCCCTGGGGAGTGAGTTCTTGCTGTCTATCTCTCTGTGTCTCTCTCTTTCTGGCGAGCGCATGCACCATATAGCAAAAACCTCTCAATAAAGAAAAAGAAAATGAAAACTTGCACCGCTCATGATTTCTATTTCGCAATGGCAATGAGCTAGCTGAGTGGTATAGGACTCTCTTTTTTATTTTCTCCAATCATGACAGATAAAATGAGTAAAATGAAATGAGTATGTTATGTGTGTCCTACAGTTTTCAAGCTTATAGACTTAATGCATCCTACTGGTAGACACACCAAGCCCTTCCTCCCATAATCTTCAGGGCCAAAGTCTACTCCACCAAGACAGGCTTAGTCAGATCAGGGTTCCAATTTACTGAACTGTGTTCCTAGTATACTTTCCTTGGGTTTGCAAATATGTCTTATGTAAACAGTATTTTTTTCTCTGCATCCGATTATCTTGTTGATTGAAACAGCTTACTATGTGAGTCAGGTTTATTTAATTTTACTGATTGATATATTTCATTCCACTAACAAAACATAGATTAAAAGTATTCTCAAATATGTATGACCATATAATTATATGCTTCTTAAAATACAGAACTGGGGCCGGCTAGGTGGTGTGTTGGTTGAGGTGCTAGACTCCCACATGGCCAACCGCAGTTCAAGTCCTGGACCTGGTGGCTTGAATTCTCACTTTTCCTCTCTATTTCTCAATCATATAAGCTTTGTAGCAAAATTTATAAATAATAATGACAAAATTAAATTAATAATTCTTTGTAATAAATAAATACAGACCCCTTGGGATCAGCAATTGGCATAGTGGTTAAGGGGCTGGACTCCCATGTGGTTAATCTGTGTTTCAATCCCAGACCTGGTGTTTTAAAACTCATGCGGGGTGAATGTGCATGTGTGCGTGCCAAAAATCCCAAGAGGAGAGACAAGGAGAAGCTTTCACTGCATGGCCATCCCCCCGTGGGGTAATTTCTCGCTTTCTCTTTGGCAAGCACATGCACCTTAGGATAAAAATCTCTCAAAAAAAAAAAAAAAAACAGGGAACCAGCAGTTAGCATAATGGCTATGTCACTGGACTCCCACAAAGCCGACCACGGTTCGCATCCTGGACCTGGTGGCTTAAAACTCATGCTGGGTGCATGTGCGTGCGTGCCCAAGATCTCGAGAGGAGAATGGAGGAGAAGGGATTGCGGTGTGACCATCCCCCCTGGGGCGTGATTTCTCGCTTTCTGTCTATCTCTCTCTGTCTGTCTGGTGAGCGCACGTGCCCTATAGCAAAAACCTCTCCAAAAAAAAAAAAACAGAACCCATTAGGTGCATTTCACATGCATTGTCTGTTTTCTTCTGTTACAAAACAATACCACAGGGGCTGGCAGGGGGCATGGTGGTTAAGGGCACAGGACTCCCACGTGGCTGACCGTGGTTTGAGTTCTGGACCTGGCAGCTTGCCTTCTTGCTTTCTCTCTCTCTCTGTCCTCCTCTGGTCAAATTTAAATGAGTAAATAAGTACATAAATAATTCTTAAAAAAAAAACAATACTACAGACTAGGTGATTGATAAAGAGAAGTTTATTTATTATAGTTCTCAAGGCTGGGGAGTCTGAGAGCCTGGCATTGGAAAAGGGCCTTTGGGTTCCATCATCTCATTGTGGAAGGGCAGAGTGCAAGCGAGCACAGGTGAAGGAAGGGCATGAGTGCCAGGCTTGCTTTATAACAACAACCACTGTCATGGTAACTAACCCACTTCCTCAGTCATGACCTTCATGAGGGTGGAGCCTTTGTAACCTAAACAGCTCCCATGAGGCTTCACTTCCCAACACTGTTACATTGAGGATTAAGGTCGACATGAGTTTCGGAGGGGACATTCAAACCATAGCACATTATATTAGTTATGGTCTACAGAGAGACAAACAGATTCAATAGGCCATAAATATAAGGGCTCTTCGAAAAGTTCATGGAAAGATGCATGTTCTGGGGGAAAAATAACATGCATGGCTGTAACGTTTTTTGCACCAAAATGAACTCATAGTTTCCATTTCTACAATGAACTTTTTGAAGTCTCCTTGTATGAAAGAGAGGTTTTACTAGTGGAATGGAGGATTTATTAGATTATGGAGGCTGAGAAGTTCCATGATAGGACATCTGCAAGCTGGAGACCATGGGTTGCTGGTAGTGTGGTTCCGTCTGAGTTCAAAAGCCTGAGAGCCAGGGAAGTCAATGGTGTAATTCTCATTTTGAGGCCAAAGACCTGAGAACCCACAGGCCTGGGGACACTAGTATTAAATGCTGGAGTTCCAAAGCCAGAGAGTCTGGGATCCTAATGTTCAAGTAAGGTAGGAGGAGAGTGTGTCCCAGCTCCAGGAAAGGAAATCCTTTCCTCTGCCTTTTTGTTCCATCAGGGCTCTCAAGTCAGTTGGATGGTGCCAACACACGTTGAGGGTGGATCCTCTCCACTCAATTCACTTACAGGCCAGTCTCCTCGAGAAACACCGTCCCAAACATACCTGAAAGCAATGCTTTATCAGTCTCTAGGTATTCCTTAATCCAGTGAGGTGAAGTTAACCATCACAGACATGTCACCTAGTGGTCTCCCTTACAGTTTAGTAACGTGCCCTCCTCTTTATTCCTCACTCTTAATAAGCTGGCATTTGGATTTCAGCTTCCCCATCTTGTTGGGGACTTTGTGCACATCTTCAGCCAGGCGTCTTCTCTGTTCTTATTTCAGACTCTAGCTCATCCCTACACCTGTAGAAACAGCTCCTCTACATCCCTGCATACACTGGAATGCAGGGTCTGCATTTCCTACTATGATCATCCTCAATACTACTTGTCTCCTATTCCAGCAAAGGAAATAGTTAAGGAAAAGAAATATTAGGTCCTTTTTTTTTTTTTTTTTTTT